GCAGAGCACCTGGAATTCTCATTCACTGCTGGTAGAAATGAAAACAGGTACAGCCACTTAGGAAAAAATTGGCAGTTTTGTAAAAAAACTAGACATATAATACATCTACCATACGGTCCAGCCATTCTACCCCTAGCTACATATCCAAGGGAAAAGAAAGCACATATCTATTCGGACTTGCAAACCAATGTTCACAGCAGCTTTATTTGTTTAATGGCCCCAAACTGGAAACAAACTCAACCTCCATCAACATGGTACATTGTTACAATGTACTCAGCAATGGAAAAGGATACAAAGAAACTTTCTATTTTTTTTTTTTTCTTCCTGGAGACAGGGTCTCACTTTGTCACCCAGGCTGGACTGCCATTGCATGATCATAGCTCACTACAGCCTAAAACTCCTGGGTTCAAGCGATCCTCCCTGGTCAGCCTCCAGAGCAGCTGGGACTACAGGGGAATGCCACCATGTCCAGCTAATTACAAAAAAAAAAACCATTTTTTTTTAGAGACGGGGTCTTGCTTTGTTGCCCAGGCTGGTCTTGAAGTCCTGGCCTCAAGCAGTCCTCCTGCCTTGGTCTCCCAAAGTGCTGAAATTACAGGCATGAGCCACTGTGCCCAGCCCCAAAGAAACTTTTAACGGTGATGGCTATCTTCAATATTTGACTGTAGTTATATTTCATGTGTATACATACCAAAAATTATTCAAGCATGTTAAATTATTAAATATATGTAGTTTATTACACATCGGTTATATCACAATAAAAATGTAAAAAAAAATTTAGATAAAAAGTCATTTATACCATCATCTTTTACAATGGTAAAAATCTGTTAGGAAATCCCAATCCAACAATAGGAATATGACTCAGTCAACTATGGCTCATCAATTTACCATAAAGCTTTTCTGTTATTAAACATAATACATGTAAAGACCACGCAGACATAAACTTCCTCATAGTAGGACACAAAACCACATATACAATATTATAACAGCTATACAAAAGCCTAGGATTACATAAGGTTAAAGACTGGAAGAGGCTATAGAAAAACCTAACAGTTGTCATAGTAAAGGAAGGGATTACAGGTGTTTAAGTGCAGAGCTGTCGATTTTTTTTCCTTTATTCACAAAGAAGAGCATGCTTGTGTTTTAGAAGTTTAGTAACATCTTTCTAAAGCTCTCCAGAGAAACAGACACAATAGAGACGTCTAAAGCTCTCTCCAAAGGAGTTGGGAAGTCCTGCCACCAAAGAGACAAAGAAACTTAAGGAAAATTAAATGCTGAATTCCCCAGCAAAATATTCATCATTTGCCTTTTCCCTCTCTCCTTCCACTCTTCTCCATTCCACAGCCCCCACCACTCTCACTGCTGGCCTTCCCCTGGACACTGCCTCACTCAGGTCCTTCTCATTCCTCCCCTAGCTACCATCATAATGCTGCACACTAGATTTCAGTCTCTACACTGCCATCTAGACAGGCGACATCACATATATCCCTCATCAAAACGTTAGAAGACTCCCACTCGGCCCACATAATACAGTTAACTCCTTCACATGGTCTCTCAGGAGCTGCAGTAGCCTCTACTCGCAGCCTTATTTAAACATTATTTCCTTATTCCCAAACTCCAGCCTCTTATTTGCTATTCCTTAATTCCTATGCACTACTCGAAGTTCTAGGGGTACAAAAGTGAGTAATAGATGTACGATGGTTAATTTTATGTGTTACCTTGGCTAGGCTATGATGCCCAGTTGTTTGATCAAATACCAGTCTAGACATTGCTGTGAAGTTAATTTTTAGATTTTTAGATATTATATATATTATATATGTTTTATACATTATAATATATATTATATATAATATACATATTATATACATGTTTTACATATTTTATATATGTAAAATTTTTGTCATATTTTCTCTTTGTCATACAGGCTGGAATGCAGTGACCTGATCTCAGCTCACTGCCAGCTTGAACTCCTGGGATCAAGTGCCTGGCTAATTTTTTATTTTTTGTAGAGATGGGGGTCTCACTATCTTGCCCAGGATGGTCTCCAACTCCTGAGCTTGAGCAATCCTCCTGCCTTGGCCTCCCAAAGTGCTGGGATTATACCTGTTAGCCACTGTGCTGGGCGGTGATTAACATTTAAATCAGTAGACTCTGAGTAAAGCATATTGCTCTCCATAACATAAGTGGACTCATCCAATTAGTTGAAGGTCTTAAGGGCAAAGACTGAGATCTCCCAAAGAAGAGGCAATTCTGCCTCAAGACTGCAATAACAACTCTTCCTTGAGTCTCCGGCCGGCAGCCTTCCCTATGATCTTTGGACTTGCCAGCCCCACAATCCTGCAAGCCAGTTCCTTAAAACCAGTCTTTCTCCCCTTAGGTATATAAATCCTATTGTGTCTGTTTTTCTGGAGACCTGTAATAACATATGGCTCCTATGCTTATAAAACTCAGGCAAATCTAGGAAATAGCAATATAAACAAATAATAAAACCCAACGTGGAGGGTACCACACTAGCCCTTCTGCCATAAAGAATGAAAAATATATTTTAAAAAATCACTTTCAGAGATTGGACAACAGAGAGTAAGGCCTCTGTTCCCTGAAAAGAAAAACAAACGAAGTGAGCCCTGGGATGGTCCTAGCTTTCTGCCTAGAGGCACCGTTTGGATGGAGCTGCGGGGGAGGGAAACCTGAGCACAGAGACTCTAACCTATTTCACACCAGGAGCACACCCTTTTTAAACATCTCCTCCTCTACGTGACAAAAAGATTTTCAGCAACACTCATGGAATAATCAGCAACAGTCATGACTTTCTTGATTTAGTCTCTGGTTTTAAAACAAACATGAACAATCCAAAAAGGAGAATAAATATCACTTTACAAAATATCATTCAAATTCAGTAAAATCATCCAGGTGTAAACTATAATTTACACATAACAAACATAAACATTACACCTCACATTTCCCACTTTTTCACTATTTTCCATTTTAAACACACATTAAAACTCTGAAGTAGTCATTTAGATAACATTTAATAACTCGAGTTTTTTAATGTTTACAACCACTGTGTTATCATTGTTTACACCGAATCTATTGTTAAAACACTGGAGTTTCTGGCGCGACCAGAGATGAAAACACTAACTGCACCTGAAGCCAGTTCAAATGATTCTGAACTGTTATAAATGTATTCTCAAAATGAGCAAGTGGGGCTGTTTACTAAAACTAAGAAATAAAAGTGTACAAAGTTTATATACGTATTATTAAAACTCAGAGTAACCTCAGCAATTACTCAGAATGTAGGCGTATAAGCATGCTTGTTTTCTTCCCCTGGCAGGAGTAGGTATTTAGAAACATGGTGATAAAAGAAGATAGACTTTGTGTCACTGTTTTAAAATTATCTTTGGACAAATACTCCTAAATTTTCAGCACCTAAGTTGGATTGGTCCTCCTACCCCACCCTTGGCACTCCACTGGCTGGGAGAGGCTGAGAGTCTAGAATTTGTGGGGCAGAGAAGGAGCTATGCAGAAAAAAGCTCCAGAAATCTGCCTGGCACTTGAGTCTGGCCAAATATCCTACGGACAAACAGAGTGTGTTGACAAACAGATGGTCACAGGCCATCTGTACCTGTAAGTTCTTTTCCCACGGGTTTGGATTTTGACTACTGAGAATGGAGACCTCACTGAATACCTATGTTATTAAATAGACACCTGAAAGGCCATACCTCAGAAAAAGGGCTAAATCAGTCATGGAGTAAAAGCTATTCTAGAACTATCCTAACAAAGCTTATAAACCAGCCTGAAAATATCAAGCTGATTTGCAAGTAAATTTAGAACCTGCCAGAAGAAATCTCAATACTCTTTAAAAGAAGACATCAAAACCCTGCCACTTGGCCATCATAATGGTCGTAATTGTGATGGGCAGAATTTC